TTAAAGCGATGCGATTGTGGAAAGTACAAAAAAATTGCTTCAAAACCATGTCACTACAGCAAAAAACATTACGAAGAGAGTAGAGAACCTCATAAACAGTAATCAGCGAGTTTCTTAACCGACACTCTGGAATGATTTCAATTATTTTTTCAGAGCTGATATCTCTCCTTACGGCTTCTATTACAAAATGCAACACCGCTCTTTCCAGGTCTGTATAAGCAGAAGCGCCTTCATCTGAAAACCAGTATTGTTTCGAGACTGTGAATTATTAACTGTATACCAGTTACAATAGCAGCAAACAGAATTCAAGACTAAAAAACTCTAAACTAACATGTTGCATCCTTCGATAAAGTCAGCCGCTCAAAAGCCTCCGACAGAGTCCCATCGAGATCCGTCATGGTTTCGCAAGCCGATACTTGAGCAGAAACCTCATCGATACAAACCCTTGGAATTTCAACCATACTCCTAAAACAACTTTTTGCCTTCATCGACACAACTGTTCAAGACCGTAAAAAGCGTCTTTACCCAAACGACTTCATTGAAGTGTGTTAAAAGGTTGCAGAAATGAACTGTAAGAACGGAGCCGAAAGAAAATTGCATTCCAAAATCACATCACGTTACTCCCCTCCACCCCCAATAATCCTGGCGAACTGCCGCCTCTTCAGAAAATCAGCAGCCTTATTCAAATGTTTTCCCTCTGTGAAAATCACCACTTTTGCGTCTTCATAATGTCGTTACTGCAACCCACCGGAGCAAAGAAAATGTTCGGATTACCATAATCACTGCGTCCTTTTATATCGCAATTAAGACGCAATACAAACCTCAAAGCAATCAACTGCAATACATCTATTACATTAGCAACAACCGTAATTTTATATCTGCGCTAATTGTTTCTGTACGTAAAAACAGGATGCATCACCCGTAATAAAATAGGAGTCATTCCAAACAGCAAACATTCATTATAAATGGTTCTGAAACATTTCTTAAGTATCTTATTTAAAGTGAAAGATAAGTTTCCCACTAATGTATTAAATCCACAAAATTTTCACTGAAGAATCTTTCTGTGCATCAAAAATTGACAGAAACAACGACTAGTGACAAATATTAATAACAATTAATAACTACAAATGCTAAAATTAGTCATGCTGCCTAAGTCTTTGAATTTAATAACAAGAGTAATTTCAAAAAAATCAACAAGGTTGTATAAGAAGACCTGATCGCTTCCAAAGGAGTTAAAGAATGAAAAAACTACATCCCTTTTTTCAAACAATCCTTAGTTATTTGACAAAATGATTTTACTTCTTTTGAGCGCTTGCCAGAATTTGGGAATTAAACTAGGTTAGTAAGAAGTAATACAAAGAAGTGTTTGAGCACTAGCAAAAAGGTGCAAAAATGCACAAATTATGGCACACCCGATATTACACCAACTACAAAATGCAACTAGAACAACCAAAAATCCTTCAACAGGAACTAGACATCGACGTTTTAGAAACACATACAACTATGTATGGAAAAACTTTGAAGAGCATCACAACAGACCCGTGAATTTGCGTCATCTAAAACTGCGAGAAAAAAAAACAGCTGAATTAAATCCCAAAAGTGGACCATTTGAAACACAGTTATGCTTGTTTCGTTCCATCCTCTTCATCTTTCTTCAAGGTTGAAGCTTCCTTTGATGAATCAGGTTCTTTGAATAATTCTTCGTCAATCCTTTCCTTGGCTCTGTACACCTAAA